CAAAAGAAAGAACAAGCCCCAGGCATAATTGGTTAAATAAAAGCACTTGATTTTTCTGGGGGTCTATAGAAATTCGATCCATTTCTGATCCATCTCCCATTTCATTGCCCACGATACCTAACATACGTCCCATGTGAATCTTTCATCTATTATTGTACTGAATTTATCTTTGGTGCCTTTAGATTGGTCCCAGCACCGTGCACCAAGGCCCCTGAAACTGTTGATCTCAAAATATTAGCAGTCCTCAATAACATACCACCATATCCCATGTCTAGAACAAACTGGCCTCTCTTAACACCGTTCAAAAACCCGATAAAGGCCTTTCAGATTTGCAACCTCCAGAACTCCATCTTCCATCAGCGACCTGGTAGCTACCAATCTCGCTTTGAATGCTGGAAAGAAGACATGCTCAATAGCGTGTCTGATATGTTGCCGCCTTGCCCGCAACTCTTCAGGGATGTCCTCTTCACGAATACTGTCTGCATCACCAGGCAAAGTTGGCAGTTGTTCTGGAACGTAAAAGGTGGCCAGTTCCCGTACAAAAGAGCCAAAGCAGGCCTTCTCCTCAGTCCAGTCAACACTAGGGCCAAGGCGGAGGAGGAAACGAGGGAGTTTGACGAGAGGTGGTGTGTACCCCTTCAATAGTAGTGGTAATGACACGAGTTCGCCAGCGGGTGATATTTCGAGAGAGAAGTACTCAAGAAGCATCTCGCGGCGCTCAATTAACTGCTCCGCTACCCGGTCTACCAAGTTTTCGACTTCGAAATCATCCTCGGGTGAGGTTATAGAGCTCTTCTCCACTTCGGCTGCCCCTCGAAGCAGCTCGCGAAGGTCCAATGAGGGGTTGAACTTGATGGCACCGAAGTTACCAAAATCTGTAAGGGCAAGTTGGTAGAAATATTCGTAGCAAGTTCGGCCATAATCGATCAGATACAGTTTAACGTCGCCTTGGACTGCTGCCAACCGCCTTTGCTCATCCACGATACCCACGAAAGTATGGTTGGAAAATATCTCGGTTAGGTCGTGGTGTATATCTTCTCTGACTTCGTCTCTCAACTTTTTCACGCTGTTCAGTCGGCATTGCACCAGTTCGCGGTCAACTATCTCGTATTCCTGAGCTTCAGGGGCAGTAGTTGTTTCCACTGTGCGGTCCACAGACCCGGTAGACTCGCTTGGGCCAGCTCGGGCAAACATGGATGTAATCTTCCGCTCAGTTGTATCCGTCCTCACTAGGTCATTCGAGTATCTTCGCTTCTTTGATGCTGGAGTTCTTCGACTTGGCGTGCCGTCACTTTCTGTTTGTGGGGTGGAATCGATCACTTTTGCACCAGGAAGAAGTGTCTGTGTCATGAACGTCCGGCTTGTATCCACCGCAGCAAGTTTAGACTCGATATGCTCACATATAGATTGAATGATTTCATCTTCGTTGAGAAAGTGAACCTCTCTCTTTGTTGGATGAACGTTGACATCCACCCGAGCTGGTTCAATTTCAAGACTAAGGTAGATGAATGGATGTCCGTTCTTAGGCAAGAAATTAGCATACGTTTGCTCGATTGCCTTCTTTATGTGGGTTGATTCGACACATCGATGGTTGATGAACAGCAGAAGTGTTGTCTTTTTGACAGAGTAATTTGCGTTGGTTGTGAAACCTTCAGCTTTGAACCCCCAACGGTCTTCGGCGACTGAGAACTCCAACAGCTCGTTAGCCACGGCACTACCGTGGATTTGACGAATGCGATCAATGACTGTAGCCTGAGCTTGTATTGATAGATTTGTCGAGGCTTCGCCTGCCTTCTTGCAAGCGAATCCGACACCTTTGCAGTGCACAGCGTACCGACCAACCATATCGATGATCTTGTTGAACTCATCAGCCGGCGAACGAAATGCTCTTCTTCGAGTTGGGATATTATAGAAAAGGTCTTCGACTGTGATTTGTGTCCCAGGGCGACCGGCAACACCTTTGGGCTCTGCCGACTGGCCAGGCTTTGCCGGAGCAAGCTTCCCATCAAGGTAGTGGGCTCTCCATGCCAGGTCTGAATCTTTCGTCTTGGTGGTCACGGAGAGATGGGCGATGTGGCTGATACTGGCAAGAGCTTCGCCCCTGAAGCCATATGTCGCAATGGCTGCCAGATCTTCAAAGCTGGTGATTTTAGATGTGGTGTGGCGCTCACAAAGAATTGCCAAGTCTTCTTTCTGTGACAATAGTAAGCTTTGAAGATATACATATGGGTAATCATTCTATTACCTGGATACCACAACCATTGTCCGTTATCTGGAGTAGCTTGAGCCCTCCGTCCTTGGCGAGGACATCCAGAGAGGTCGCACCAGCATCAACCGCATTCTCGATGAGCTCCTTGAGAGCGTGAACGGGAGCCACAATAATTTCACCAGCAGCAATTTTGTTCACCACGTTTGGGTCGAGTGCCTGCAATCATGTTAGCGGGCTAGCCCAGGCTATATGCATAAGGCGCCGAAAAACACAGCCTCAAGTCTGCTTACCCTGATTCTGCGAGGCGCATCACTTTTTGCGGGTAAATTTTCAATAGGCTGCCCGTCGGCGTTTCTTTTCGTCCCGCTTGGGGGAACATTTAGAATGTCATCGGAGCTTGTTGGGTCACCTCCCATCTCAACATCCGCGTCTGTTGCCATTTCTAGCTATGGCAGCCGAGTTGTTGCGCCAGGGCACAAGAACCAGCCTGTGAGGTGGTACCAAGAATTCTTTTAGGGGTAGTTGAATGCGAATAGGTTGGGCGACAAATGTTGTAGGTCATGCGCAAGTTGCTTGATATTTTCTCTTCTCTCATTTCGGGTCTCGGGCGTGTCGTCCCATATCTACGTTTCCCGTAGCGCTTAGGATTGACCACACGAGAGGATAGCCTATCCCAGGCAAGATCTTGCTTTGAATCCGATACGTTGAAAAAGGGAGAAAAGGGAGCGGTTCATGCGAGACAGGGACAGGCCGTCAATGACAGGTTGTTAGCAGGCCTCATCGATAGGCAAAGCGCGGATGAGCTCGGCCACGTGACTACATTACAACTTCAAGGTGCACCTTCCATCCAATAGGTAGATATCTTCTCAGAATGCATTTCATTATCTCGACTTCAAGGCAGGCAGGATGCACTTCGAAAAGGACTTGCCGTGTTCGGCACTCGGCACATTAAAAATTACAAATGATGGGCACGCCAACAAGGATTCAAACTCGCCTTGATTACAGCTCCAACAGATCCAGCGGCATCAAACCAACTTGGGATGAAAGATATATTGGGGGCGCCTCGGCCAGTGACTCAACTTTAGGAATTGAAAAAAGAAAAAGGCAAAGAGAAAAAGAAAAAGAAAAAGATGATAAATGATAAACGAGCGTGAATTTTCGCTATCTCAACGCTGCGGGTAAGGCGGATCGCAAGCGACACAAATGCAGTCAGCAGTGCAGCAAAGTTGCACATATTTAGATACAGCTGAAGCATCGTGGTTGGTTCCTGGTGAGGGCTCCAACTGCAAATTGAGTGAGGAAACTAGAGTAAGGGGTTCATGTGCCTGGACCGTCCGTTCTCTTGCATCATCTCTCGATTGTGCCACCAGCCTTACAGGGTTGGGCAGACAGGTTGTTGTGTGGTAGGTAGCGTTTTGGGTAAGCAAGATTGGGCTCGTGATTCATTGAAATTCTCCTTGTAGTTCAAAGGCGTATTGCGCATATGCGCTCTTGGTAGCACAGCCTCTCTGTCATGACCAAGGTTGTTGATACTGTCAAACAGTCGTCGGTTCTTCTTTTCGTTTTAATGACAAATCTAAACAAGGTCATTTTTGTGATATTTGACGTCAAGTTTGGTTTGTTGAGGATTTTCATGGCCGGCCCCCTGTCGCCTTTGGACGCCTTATCTACCTAGGTTCTTCCATAAATGTTCTTTCACTTTCAACCTCCAATCACCAAGTAGCCGGGCGCTCTCTTGAACGCATGCACTGCAAACGCAGCCACCTCTTGGAAGTGTTGGTGGCTGCTGCTAACGATTTTCTTGACTGACACATGCGTTTCCATTTGTCAATTTAGCAGCATCTCTCGTCCGAATTGGGACATGTTAGGACTTATTTCAGGACTCTTGAGCGTGAAGATCTGAACGGCTGCCTGAACGCGTAGGCATGGATGATGGGTGATAATGATGCGGACCAACGCCCGTGGGAAGGGACAAGAGAGAAGAGGACTCATGGCAAGGTTTGGTCTGTATGTTCTCTCACCTGATGCATAATTGTTTGCCACCTGTGTTTTGCGCCATGTCGCAGTGCAATTCACATAGTTAATGTTTGTGTCTAAGATACAGCGTTGCAGATCCAGGCACGCAATGCATCTGCCTGGGTACCTTAGGTACCTACCTACATTGTGAATCCATTGCTCCTCTATAATAGTCCACGAAATGCAAGAGAAATACATACCTTTCTGTGTTGTGTGGCACATCCAAGCCGCTGCATTGCCTCATTGTAAGCCTAGGATAGGCTCTTTCAGCGGATGGTGGTGTTGCCGAATAAGGTACAATCCAAGACAATGTGCACAGCCTGGGCTGGCACACTCTCTCTTTGCGTACTGTAAAATTGCGCACTACCTACGAAATGCAAGGTACCACTACCACGCATCTCATCGTGTGCAGAAGCCAAGCAGTCAGCCCAATGCTAGAATTTTCCCATTCTCTCAGACTAAACAGCTTGAAATGGGTCATTCATCCATTCAGCATTACCTCCTTGTGCCAGTGGAGGCTACCTTAGTACCTACCTAGATAATAAGAGGCAGATGGTCCGCCCATGGTTTGCTATATCAAGAGCCAAACCCCCATAAAAGAGATGGGTTATTCCATCCTTCACTGCCGAGAATTATTTTGCAAGATCTATCCTTTTACTACTCCAGAGTAACCTCTGTAACATCTCTGTCAATATCTTCCATACTTCCCATCCTCCACATCCTCAATTCAATCTCTGTACCCCAGATCCTTCGGCACACGTCTCAACCATTCAAGATGGCAGCCGACTCACTCCCAAGCTCAAACTCAAAGACACTGTCATCCAACAGGTTTGTTTCGAAACGATCCTTCATATTGACCCCCTACTAATATGTCATCCTTTCTAGCTGTCTCTGCTCAGGCTCTAGCCATGGAGGATCATCACGCTCCAGCTCTTCCGCATCAAACCGTTGCTCCCACTGTAGCTTCCGGGCCGGATCCCCACCTCTGGGACGCCCCTCATCCGGAGACCGCGACAAGAACGTCCTCGACCACTTCCACCTCTCAGGCTCAGCTACGGGTGTCGCCAATGGAAATGACCCTCTGTCGGCCGAAATTGGTGCTGAATGGGAAAATGGCCAGAAACTCGGCCATCAAATGCCCCATCACATGCCCAACTCGTCGAAATTGAACTGAGCAATAACGTTACATACAGTCAAAAAGAATAAAAAGGGCATGTTGGGGTCGAGAAGCAGCGAGTCGGATACAAGATCAATAGTCGCGAGACAAAGTGTATATATAACAATATTGTATTTCCTTTTATTTATTTCCAGGGTTTCTTCGAATATCGATCTTCTCCTCTTTCAAGTGTTATTTATTATTGCAAGATGGTATGCACGTCGAGTTGATAAACCTGGTCAAATCGGGAATATAAAAGAATTCAAAAGCGTGTTCAAGTCCTTAATTGTATCCGTACAAGCGACACGCGATAAAACACTCCACTATAGCATAACCTCTCTAGCCTCTACATCTACCTACTAGATATAAGCAAGATCCTCTCTCTCTCTCTCTCCCCGTGACATCACGGTTAAGCACCGCCACAGTTCATTCTTGATACTACTATACGGGGCGACGGGCCCTCCTCCGTCTCCCCAACTGCCGTAACGTTCCATGCGCGGACGGATAACGGGGGGGGGAGATGCGGCAGGCAGATGCGGATGCAAGATGCAGATGAACTAACGGACACTCGGAGAATATTTAATTTTAAAAATTTAGGCAAGGTAAGGTAGGTACATGTACTTGTTATGTTAGTACACATGATTTACAGTCCCGGACCATCCATCCCATCCTTAACATTGGATACATCGAGGCATCTCCTTGAACGCACACGCCCCCGGGAACCCCCTGCGAATCGCACATCAACAGAGCCAGATTCGGGTATTGACTCGCACATCACATCCTTTCCATTGGATCCATGGTTCTCTGTATATCCGAATTGTAATGCACATATCCGTTGCACTCACCTCCCATTGGCCTTTAAAGACCCTTCTCTGACCTGCCTTGTCCTTGTCATTGTCACATCACATCACATCAGCGCCGCACTGTAACACATTCTGGCACGCTTCTGTCTGTGTTACCAAATACGTGCTATTACTCATTATATCGCGCCCGGTATTCACATCCTCTTCTTTTCCTCTTGCATAATCTGATCTGACTCACTCACTCTCCTTTGCTCTGCCCAGCCTTGTTCCTCAAGCTCAAGCCCAGGCAAGACATGCCGCGGGCCTTATTCTATGTCCAGTCCCGCCACAACCCATCACTGACCTCGTTTGCCCGTTCTTTCACTTACCACAACGCATTCAAACTCAACTAACCCCCCGATCCTCTGCTCATACAAAGCTGTCTAACAACAAAGATCAGCCTAGCTGAACCCAACTGTATATATGGATATATTTGACATTGCAAAACTGTTGTCGCTCTCCCCAACGCCGCCGGCTGTAAATGCACAGATGCTTCAGCGGTACCACCAGGCCGTACTCATCCTCCTTTCTCGCTCTCACACGCGTAACGATACACAAGACACAATCATAACAAGAGGATTATAGTACATGTGGCGCCTTGGTAGACACAAATTCCCACCGCACTAAAATCAAAACGACAAAAATCAAACAAGCCATATATCTGGACGCTCCTCATGATCCAACTTCCATCTATGCAAATATCAATAACGCTCATCGCCGCCGCTCAGGGTCATCGGGCTTGTCGATCAGACCGCCAATATCAACTCGGTTGGACCTTTCCTCCTGTGTCCGTGGCCGAGGCTGCTCTGGCCCTGGCTGGGCTCGAATTGGTGGTAGCTGAAAAGCTGCTTGAGGTCGATACACGCTCGCAAGGGGCAGTTCGCTTCGGGGAACATTATATGATGGGGGTCCTCCATACTCTGTATGGCTTGGTGACGCAGCGTACGAGGTTGAACCCGCCCCAGCAGCAATTCCAGGATTTATGGCGGCAGGAAACTGCGTTGGCGGAACAGCAGCCGGTCGAGATACCAGTGGGACTTCGCTGAATCGACCTCTGGGCATATCAAAGGGCGGCCCTGGCGGCACCGGTGTCCTGTAAAGAGACTGTGGAGTTGGCGGCTGAGAACCATACGCATGCGAAGCCTCTCTGGCGGCCGGCGAAGAAGGTAAAAGGTACGCATGCCGGTGTGGTAAGCTTAGGACCATGACAACGACGTAGATCGAGCCCTCCTTCTCAAGCCCGAGTCGAACGGGATACTGTCTCGGTTGTCCATCAGCTGCTCTGAAAGTTAGGTATTCGTTTCGGTCGAGTTGGAAGCGTCCGATATCCTCTGCACCAAAGCCAAGCCCCTGGATGATGTGGTCGAGTCGAGAAAGGATTGGCGGTAAATAGTTCGGCTCCTTTCGTGTTTGCTCCTCGATCAGTTGACTTCTAATCGACGCAACTTTCTCCCTCTCCGCAGGAACAACGACATCCCCCAAGTTCTGTCCCTGGAGTTCCATATGGCCTACGGCTTCCATAAAAGTTGGCGATGCCTTCGCAAAATCCATCTTCATGTTCAAGAAAGCAACAGGGTCTACTCCTCGAGGCCCAGCCGATAGAGAGGGTGCGAACGTGGGAGCGTCCATGTTAGGCCCTCGCTCATGATATCTCGTGTTCGTATGTTCCCTATTATCAAATCGTTAGCACTTCGACAAAATGCCCGGACGTCACGTCATCCGCCTTACCCAGGTCCTATTGGAACGCCCGACGGGTATATGCTCAATGGTCGCCTCGCAGTAGTATCTTGCGGATGAGGAAATCTGGATGGATCATAGCGAGTTTCACGATCGTCTCTTAGTCGCGGTCGTCCTCGTTTCTTGTGCTGAACATCGACACATGATTCTTCCTTCCCATTCGTGATACATCTCGAACATGGACGTTGTGCTATGAATGTATTAGCACTCTTTGTCCTTGCGAATTTATATCAGAAGCGCATATCGATATGCGCATTCCGCCTGGCCATATCCAAGGCATCGACGAGAGACACAACATGGACTCAATCAGGTCGTCTTCTGTTGTATTACAGGAAGTCCAGTGTGTGGAGACCCGATCATGGGCTGGCCAGATTGGCATCGTCTCCTAATCTTGGAGGATTCTGGAACAAGGAAAGGGATTTCACAGCATAACGTAAAGGAATAGGTTCTCGGAAACATACCATCACAGCTAATCACGGATTAGTACAACTAGTTCATATGGACACATAGGGGACCACTTACCGAAGATGCGCTCGTTTACAAGGGACACATGCGGATGCCACATGGCCTTTCGTTTTCCTCTGCGATTTCGGGGAAGTCATAGGCTGATTCTCGACCACTGGCGGGCGGACAGATGACGTGTAAGACGAAGGTGCTCCAGGTATTCCAGGAGGAATATAACCAGATGACTGGGACATAGATGGCCCCCCTGGTTGGATGTACGAAACCGGTCGAGGTACGGTCTCTTCTGTCCTTCGATATGAAAATGGTGGTGCGTCTGGGGGCCCTGGTTGGAATAATCTGGGAAGCGTGGTCTGCATGTTGGCAGGTCCTCGGTGGTCAGTCGGTAATTGTTGATTTGAGTTGCCCCAGTAAGTATCGGGCTGGCGAGAAGCTGAATATCCCACTGGTGCTTGCCCTCGATCCCCAGCGTCTTGGGGCTGCTTCGAGGGGAGGGGCGGAGATCCTGACATGGGTGGAGAGGGATATGCTCGATATCGAGCAAAAGAGTCTTGCTCTGCGCTCTCGGATACCCAGGCCAGGTCTAAGGCAATTTGCGCCAGGTCTGAGATGCCGCGGCGTTGGCCGAGCGGGTCGGAAGCTGAATCGGAGACGGATCCCTTGATGACCATGAGGGCAAAGTTGCTACAGGATTAGTGGCTGGACAGACAGTGACTCCAACCCTGAGCTAGAAACAACAAAGATGCACTCTGGGTTTGTCGTCTTGATCTGTCTTTGCGATGCAATCGGATTTGATCTGGGCTAACTTCCAGTTGTCGTCAATGGCCACGGTCAAGATCTAGCTGACCTGGACAAAGAGGTATCTCTTGTTAAGCTCCAGGTGCAAATTCAGCAGCTTCTTACCAGGCCGACAACCCCTTCTTTCGAGTTGGGAGCTGTAAGGTCGTTGCAGCTGATCTTGATGGAGATGTGCCCCGCTTCTAGGATCTGCGGAGCTGAGGTGGCAGAGGAGCAGAAGTTACCAAGGGCATTCGGGGATGCTAGGCTGACGGTTGTGAAGGAACACTTCAACGGTAGCGAGCCAGGGATCAAAGAAGCGACAAGCGAGTGCCAAAGCGAGGAGGCGTGAGACGAGATGCTGCACCGTGATACTACAAAGATGCGGTCTTGGAGAGGTCTTGGGTGATACAGCGTCAAGCCGTGCAGTTGGGAGGTCGAGACGGAAGCGGCCAACCGCAGATACTCAGGGCCGGAACCTAAGAGGCGGAACCGGGTGAGGTAGGGCGGGTAAGTAAGTATATTCGGGCCCCTTGCTGGCCGGGAGGCCGTGAACACAGGTAATCGGGCTGTGGACGGAGACTGTTCGGTGGCCTACGCTTGGTTTTTGTGAGACTATGTATGCAATAAAACCTTCTCTCTGAGTGGCAGCGCGACTGAGATGCAGCTTGGATGGATCAGGGTTGGTGACAGGGCAGTAGGACACCGGTTCAGATTTTAGAGTGGCTGCTAAGTCAATCAAGGGTTCCGATAGATTTCCATAACGAGAATTCTCCGCCTCCCTTGGTCTTTGCAATATGCGCCAGAAGATCACCAGAGTGAGAGATTTGGCGCGGAAGCAATAGGACAGGATACGTGATGGTGATTAGGGCGTTATATCAGCTGGAAGTAGTAGTATAGGCGGCGCAATAGTGTGAACAAGCAGAAGCAATATTAGCTACAACCTTCCAGCCTTTGCTTCTCGTTGAGCACCTAGTGGGAGGTTCTTGTTAATCGGTGGAGGGTGCTCTTCAGTTATGATAGCGGGGGTGTAAGGCAAGATCAAGATGAACAAGGGCGGTCGAGGAAGACGCTGAATGGAGTGAGAGAACCGCCGTAGTCAAGTCGGGCTCGTGCCGACTGGCTGTGTTAGATATCGGCCGTCCCGAAAGAACGGAATTGAGAGAGAAGGGCAACAAAGACAGCAACGAGCATGTCTAT